CAAGATTAGGAAACCCCCCCCCCGCCAGCTGCTCTCTGCCAGGACCCCTGGACACGATGGGACCCCACGTCCCACCCTGGGAGGGGTGAGCAAATTGGGGGGTGGCGCGAAGGAAGGGGCAGCCCAGGAGGGTTTTTTTTGTGCCTGTGACTATTCAAGAGGGGTGAAGAACGATTCGCCTCTGCTCCGCGGCGAGGAGAGAGTGGTGCAAACAGCGTGATGAGATCGGAAGAGACACGATGTCGTCGCAGCTGGAGAGCTGTGACCAAGCGTCCCCGTAAGTGGATCCACTGATCAGGCTGAGAAATCCTGCTGGAGGAGAAAAAAAAAGAAAAAATCAAACCCAAACCCCTCCTTTAGGCTCTTATTTTACTTTCCCAGCATCTGATCCTGGGTTTTGATGGTTTTAGAGGCTACCGCTGCCCTGGCAGGGGTGCCAGCGCCATCCAGAATGACCCGAGGGATCTTCTTGCTTTCTTGTCTCTGGCCCCTGCGCCAGGGAGGGGGGATCACTTGGAATAAGTGGGGGCGTCACTCAGAGGAGAGGGGGGCTCGCCCAGGCTCCAGCACGTGCCACCGACCTCGCTGTCCCTCCGGAGCCAGCCCAACGCCTTGTCCCCATGTCCGGCGCGGCTCAGCCTGCCACGCTGAAGGGACACGGCATGGGGGGGGGGAGTTTCAGAACCACCACGCTCAGGTGAGGATGAGGAGGCTGCTTCCACCTGCCCCGGCTCTCTCCAGCCCGGGGAATTCACCTTGTGTCGTCCCCCCCACCCCAGGGAGCCGTGTCCCTGTTCTGCCTCACCGGGAGCTGCTCAGGCTTCAGCCCCTTTGTGCTTTTTTTCCTAATTAATCCATGGATGTGGTTAGCGTTAAACGAGTTTAATTAGCCGGTAGAATATTTTTATTAACTTGTCAAGCGACTGCTGCATCCCCGCTGAGCTCTCACCCCTCAAAATCCCGCTTTGAGCTGGGAGCATCCCGCATGCCCGCAGCCGGATTTCCTCAAGCAGCGCATCCCCAGGCGTTCTTAGGGGAAAAGTGCCCCTTTTTCCTGCCGCTGAGGGTTGGCAAAAGGTGGAGAGGCAGAAGGGGTGCGGGGGGACGGCGGAGGGAGGATAATTCCCACAAATCCCCCAGCAGGATGGGCTGGGCTGTCCGAGGGGATTTGCCTGGGCCAGGAGGCTTTGCCCTCTGGGTCAGGAGTTCAGTGCCAGGCTCAGGGTGGGGTGACCTGGGGTATTTGCCAGCTCTCCCTGCCCTCCTTAGAGCGAGGGCGGGTGGAGAGGTGTGCTCACCTCTGACAAGGAACCCTTTTTGTGAGGGCCGGGACACCCAGGAGGTCGGGACGGGGCTGGTTGTTGTCCCCGCAGCTCTGAGCTTTGTCCCTCTGCTCAGAGGCAGCTCAGCCCATCCCAAAGGTGGGAGCGCTGGGGGACAGGGGTGTCCCCAGTCGAGGGGGCCGTGCCCAGGAGCGCTCCCCCCACCCTCTCAGACCCACACACATCCAGGTTGAGCTTTTGGGCTCCTCACCTCCCGCATCCTCCTCGGGACAAACTCCTACAGCTCCGTCAGCGCCGGTGATACCCCCTGAGCGCCCTGAGCTTTCAGGGCTCCGATCCCCCCTCCTCACCCCGACGTGGAGCGAAACGTATGTGAGAAAGCAGCTGAGCCAGGGAAGGAGCAGGAAGGTCTATTTATAGCCCAGCAATTAAGATGATGCTGTTAAAAATTCATCGCACCTCAAGTCATTGACAACTATCAGCCAGAGAACGAGGGTCGGTGCCGGGAGACTCGCAGGAAAGTTGGGGTGTGGGGGGGTGTGAGAGTCCTCCGGAGCTTGGCACTGCAGGAGCTGGGACTGGGGCTTCCCCGGGGCACCAGAGGTGGGGAACAGACCCCTTGTCCTCGGGGCCTCTGCAGTCCTCAGGATACGGGGAAGCTGAATTTTCAGGGCTGTGTTGGAAAATCCCTTTTCTAGACTGTGTATAGGGGGGGCATAGCCAAGTATGTTCTTTCCTGAGGAGGCCTCTCTCCATCCTTCCTCCTCTCCATCCTTCCTCCTCTCCATCCTTCCTCCTCTCCATCCTTCCTCCTCTCCATCCTTCCTCCTCTCCATCCCCTCTCCATCCCTCCCTCCATCGCTCTCTGCCACGCGCAGGAAAACATTCTCTAACATTTTCTGGGGTTCGTGTTGCCTCCACACCGCCACATCTGTGGCCTCGCTGTTCCGTGCCGCAGGTGCTCACCCTGACCCTTCTCCCATGGGTCACTGCCCTGTGGGGAGTATTTTCTCCCCTCTGCTGGGGGAAGCGGGTTGGGGGGCCCCATCCTAATGCAGCCTGGATTGTGGGGTGCTGCTCCCAGCTGGGTGCTCCTCTCCAACCCCCTGGGATGCTTTTTCTGGATGGGTTGAACTAACCAACAAAGCAGAAGGGTGCCCTGTTTTCCTGGGGTGGTTCTCTGCCAGAATGGGCCTGACCCCTCCTCTTCCAGGGGGCTGGGGGGGCTCTGGGGACGGCAGGGTGGGGAGGTGGGCTCCGGGTAGCCTGAGCCGTCCTGTATTTAGTGACTCCCAGGGTGAATCCGAGATGCTGAAGGTTTCTGGCCAGGCAGGGAGGAGGTTCTGGGGGTCCTGGTGCAGGATGTGGCCACTGGAGGTGCCCAGGGCCACGCTGGGAGAAACTGGGCATCTCCAGTATCTTCTGGGTCCCCTTCCCACACGCCAGCCCTTAAAGCTGTTCATGTGGACCAGCTAATCCCGTCCCCTCCCCGTGGTGGGGGCACGTGGTGGGGTTTACCCCGCGGCCGAGGGGCCCTGGTCTGGTGGCGGGAGATCTGTGTCATAACCAGGTACCACGGAGAGGCAGGACCAGGCTGGCACAGCCCGGCCCCAGCCCCCCGCCTGCCTTAAAAAATGCACCTTTTTTGGGTGTTTTGCTTCCCAAAACAGCGGGGAGCTGGGGAAGCGGGTTCGGGCAATGAGCGCTGGCTTCTTGGTGGGGGATTGGAGAACATCAGGAAAGGAGCAGCTCTTCTCAGCGGGGAACAAGGGGACCCTCGGGAATTCGGGGTTTTCTACGGGGGAGCTGCTCCGAGGGCAGATAACCCAAAATATCTGGGTACCTCTGCAGTTCCCTGAGCGCGGCTGGCGTTAGGTGAAACGGCTCGTGAGAATAAAAGGGAAATAATTACTTGAGGTTTTTTACCGTTGAGCGTTTTCGATGGGAAACGCCCGCGTGGTGAAAAACAATTTCAGGATTTGAGACTGAAAATTTCAGCTGGAAATGTTGCGAGAGGGCTGGGCGCTTCCGGGGCGATCTCTTCCTCGGCGTACTCCGTAAGGGAAATTATTTCCTAAAAATGACGCTTTCCGAAGGGAATCGGCGCTGGAGGCGGTTTTGGATCCAGCTCCGCTGCTGGGGCAGGACCCCCAAACGTGATGGTCCTGCCATCCCCCCCCGCACCCCCCCGGCTGGCTGCTCCCACCTCCCCAGCGATGTTTTGTTTTCCACTGGGGAAAAAAAAAAATCCTGGCTGCTCCTGTGTGTGGAAAACGGGTTAACCACCACATCCCCGCGGGTATTTTCACCTTGGTGTTGTGTGAGGGGATGTGACCACGGCGACAGTGCTGCTGTGTCACCCGGATCTCCCCCCCCGGCCACCCAAATTGGGTGCCCGTGGCCCAAAGGGCTCTGCTGTGGGTGACAGCACCTGGCACCCCCACGCCGCAGCCGGTCCTGGGCAACTCCCGCCGGGTGTTGGATGGCCGGGGAGGGCTGCCCGGTGCCGGGGGTGTCTCCCACCCCCAGGCAGCACTTTCTGAAACCCCAATAAATGGGGGAAATCCTCCATCAGCCTCTGCTGGCACCTCCGAGAGGACGGGGGGTTGCCAGACCTGCCCGCAGAGCCCAGTCCCGTCCCTCCCCGCTCCGTCATCTCACTGCCAAAAGGGCCTGGGAATAGAACGTTCCGGGAAGCAGAAAATATCCTGAATTTCGGAGCAAAAGCAGGCCGAGGGCTCGCATCTGGCGGGAGACGTGGCCCAGCGACAGGGCCAGGGGCTGCTCTGCGGCCGGGTCACGGTGGCTCGGTGTCGGCTGTCCTTGGTGCGGCTGGAAACGTGGCCCCAGCGCGTCTCCCCGGGGCTGCGGCGGAGGGTTTCGGGGGGGTGTGGCAGAGCCGGGGTGGCCCCAGATGTTATCAGGGCGCTGAGGAGCTGGAGGAGAAGCCGAGGGGCGAGTTCATCCCCGGTCCCCGGGTGGCTGGGGAAAGGCGGCTGGGTCACGCAGCCGCTGCGCCGTTACGAAACCTCAGGGCGCTTTGGGCAAGGAGCCCACCGGCTTACGCAACGCCGGGGGCCTCGACGGCCCCACGAGCCCTCGGGATGGAGGAGGAGGAGGAGGAAGGGTCACCGGGGTGCCGGCAGTGCAGTGGGCTGGCTCCCACCTTCTCCCCCGCACACGGCGGATGGTGTCGGGGAGCTAATCCCGGGGTTGGGAGATGGGCCTGGACGGAGCTATGAATAGTCGCGGACGGGCGACGTGCTGGAGGCGCGCACGGCGCGGGACGCGTGACGGCGGTGCTGGGGTCAGCGCCGGGGCAGGGCTGCCAAATCATAAACACCCTGAGAAAACCCAATGGGCGCGTTCCCCCGGCCTTGCCCCCGCGGGTGCTGGGCTGCGGGGCTCCCGCTTGGGCGAGGATGAGGATGGGCCCGTTGGGAGGCCGAGCGGGTCGGGTGTTTGGGGGGGCTGGGGGGGGGGTTAATGAGCAGGAGGGCTGTGGCTGGGGGGGCAGGGATGGGGGCTGCCAAACTGGGGTGGCCCAGGAGCCACGTCCCACCACTGGTGGGCCACGAGCCGGCCAAACGCGTCGGTTGGGCACGGGAGGATGTGGAAAATAAGACCTAGAGAAGAAGGGAGGGCGATTCCCGGCACCC